TCAAGAGAGCTTTGGCCAGGAGAATGAGCACATCAATTGAGTGACTGATCATTATTTGTCATGATCTGTAAGTGACATCATAATTGTGTACTAGTTGATCAATGTACTAGTAGCTCTTGATGCGTGTACTTAACAGATCCTCTAATAATGTAGTCATAATTGTGATCAGTGCATGTATTGAATGTATTAATTCTATTGACACTTAATACTTATTATTTAATACATGTACATATTTATTTGTAATAATATTTGACCGTGAAAATACTGTAGCAGAGGGATAACTTGTGGTACAGGTATTTCACGGACAAGGGAGTGAAAGGTAAGTGATAATTACTTATGTAGAACACAGGTATGTATTTAATAGATAAGTAATTAACAGATAAGATAACTGTAAGATAAATAAGATAAGTTAATAATAAAGATAAGATAACAAGAGGTAAAGGTAATCAACATTATGGATAAGTACTGTCAGCCTCTGGGTAACTAACCTGAGTATTTAATAGTAAAAAGGTTGTTACTATGAGTTGACTGAAGTTTTTGAGCGTGGTGAGTGTTAGGTAGTGGGTGATTAATACCAGTCCTGTAAAGAGGAGGTTTCACTCTATCAGTATGGTCTTTACTGAGAGGCTTGCTATCAACAGCGCATCCGGATCAATACAAGGTATTAATAGGCATCCAGGGTACTAAGACTCACCTGGGATTGATTTGGTTATTCCCAAAAGGGAATGGGCTAACAATAATTATTAAGCTTTAACAAAATTAGTTGAAGATTAACAGGTATTGTTGATGGGAATATTCAGCAAGGCTATGAATACTGTGGATAAGTTGAGTAAGAGTACTGAAGCTTAAGAACAATAAATGTAGACAAGATTTATGTTGGTTACGTGTACTGTATCAATATAAATGTTAACTGGTTTAACTGGTGTCTGAATATTCTGGGGATTAATCAGTGAAAGAGGCACGGATTATAAGTTCCAGAATATTGAAGGGGGGAAAGAATGAGCGCTCAGAATCAAGGGAGCTTTGGCCAGGAGAATGAGCACATCAATTGAGTGACTGATCATTATTTGTCATGATCTGTAAGTGACATCATAATTGTGTACTAGTTGATCAATGTACTAGTAGCTCTTGATGCGTGTACTTAACAGATCCTCTAATAATGTAGTCATAATTGTGATCAGTGCATGTATTGAATGTATTAATTCTATTGACACTTAATACTTATTATTTAATACATGTACATATTTATTTGTAATAATATTTGACCGTGAAAATACTGTAGCAGAGGGATAACTTGTGGTACAGGTATTTCACGGACAAGGGAGTGAAAGGTAAGTGATAATTACTTATGTAGAACACAGGTATGTATTTAATAGATAAGTAATTAACAGATAAGATAACTGTAAGATAAATAAGATAAGTTAATAATAAAGATAAGATAACAAGAGGTAAAGGTAATCAACATTATGGATAAGTACTTATGTACATAAGTACAGGTGTTGCAGTTACTTGGTACATGAAAGGTACTGTGACATGTACTCTGTGGCTGACACTTCCTCCCTCTAAAAAAGGCTGATCCAAGAAATAAATTAATGTTATTTTCTTTTATCAGCTCTGTATTGTCTGAGAATTTTATCAGCATCAGGTATTTTATCAACTGTAAGCCATTCATCTTCTTTGGTACCACTGTATCTTACTAAATACTGTTTAATGTCTTCATTGTTTTTTCTGATTTTTCTATGTTGTAATATCTTCTTAATTTTAACTTCTTCTTTCTCTAAAGGAGGTATTACAACTCTGATGTTATCTTTTCTTAAAGGAAATTTATCATTATTACTAGTTTTGTATGGTTTAATTAGACTGACTGGAAATGTAGGGTGTTTTCTTTCTAATTCTCCAGTGAGTATAACTTCAACAGCATTTGTACCGTGTAATTGTTTGATTGTAAAAGGTCCTACAAAAGAATCTCTTAATTTTTTAGGTCCAGTCAGGTTTGTAAAATTAAATGTAGATATCAAGACTTGGTCTCCAACTTTAAACTGGTGAGCTTTGTGAGTTTTATCCCATCTAGTTTTGTTGTAATCTACAGCTAATTTCACGCATTCTGCTGCATATTTTTCAGCTTTGGTCATCATAAAATGAAAATCAGAGGCACTTGGGTGTATATGTACTGCTTTTGACATTAAAATTTCTTTGGAAAACCAAGGAGTCCAACCTCTTTCCAATTCATAAGGTGTTTTATTTGTTGTACTGTGTTTGCTAGAATTGTAAGCATATTCAAGTGCAGGTAATAATGAACACCAATCATGAGTATAGTTGTCTTTATCCTTAAATGTCATTCCATAGGCACAATATCTTCTGATCATGTCTTCCAAAGTTTGAATCATTCTTTCAGCTAGTCCATCTGTTTGGGGGTGGTAAGCTGTAGAAAATTTCAGTTGTGTCCCACATAAATCATATAAATTTCTCCAAAATTCTGACTTAAATTTAGGGTCTCTGTCTGTAATGATATATCTGGGACATCCAACATCATAAATAATAGAATTCCAAAATAATAAGGCAGTATCCATTGCTGTATCTTCTTTATGACATGGTAGAAATCTTGCTCTTTTGGAAAATCTATCAACTACTACTAAAATTGCATTGAAATTATTAGGTCCTCCGGGTGGTAAGCCAGTAACAAAATCCATGTTAATAACAGACCATCTTTCTTTGGGTTCTTCAATTTCTTGCAATAATCCATATCTTTTTCCTGTAGCTTTATTTGCTTTTTGGCATCTGTCACAAGATTCACAATAATCTTTGGTATCATTTCTAAAATTAGGCCACCAAGCAATTTGTTTAACTCTCTCAATTGTTCTGTCAAAGGAAAAATGAGCTGAGGATATATTGTCGTGACATTCTTTCAAAAATAAATTAATGTGTTCTTTTAAACAAATAACTACTACACTTGTATGTTTAATTCTGTGGTAAATTAATCCATCTAATAGGGAGAATCTATTTTCTTTGAATGAGCTAAGCCATGGTTCTTCTAAGGAATTGATCAGATCATTATTTTTGAAATTACTTTGTAATATATTTTTTATTGTGGAGCAATTTTTATTTTGGTCATAACTAATTCTAATTTCATCCCAAAATTCTTCTTGCATTTCAGTCACGTGTAACCCACAAATATTAATATCATCCTTGTTATCATCAAAGGCAGGATTATTTTCATTATTTTCCTCTGGGAATAAACACATAATTTTTGCAGCAATTTCTCCGTCCCATGCTGGGTTGTCTGGTATATTTTCCAAAGACCATCTACTAAGTCCATCAGCATTTTTATGTATATTACCTTCTCTATGTTTGATAGTCATACTTCCTCTCCATTCTTGAATAGCTATTTGCCATCTGAGCATGTGTCTATTTGGAGTTTTCATACTTAATAAACTTTTGAGGGCTGTACAATCAGTAATGACTTCAAATTCACATCCATCAAGGTAATAATATAATTTATCTAGGGCCCAGACTAAACATAAACATTCAAGTTGGCTGGCCCCATATTTTTTCTCACTGTCTTTCAATGTTCTAGAAATATAACAAATGACTCCTTCTTTTGGTATTTCTTGATCTTGAATTTGGTGTAAGGCAGCTCCTAATCCTTCCATACTAGCATCTACATATAATTTATAAGGCTTATTAGGATTAGGCATAAATAATATAGGAGCAGAAGTAAGTAATTCACGTAATTTATTAAATGCAGCTACTCTATCTACTGTCATCTCAAAAGCAGTGTTTGGGCTACTTAATTTATATAGACAACCTGTTACTTTGGCAAAATCTTTAATGTGTTGTCTATAATAACTAGCAAAACCAAGGAATGACTGTATTTCTTTAACATTAGTGGGCATAGGTTTTAACATTACTGCAGCTACTTTATTTTTATCTATAGCTATGCTCAATCCTGAAACTATGTGGCCTAATGCTTTAAGTTCTTGAAAACCGAATTGACATTTGTTCATAGAGATCTTCATATTCATTTTTATAACTCTTTCTAGAACAATTTTTAATTTGTCAAGGTGGTCATTCCATTCAGTGCTAAAAATAATAATGTCATCAATATAAATTATTAGCCATCCTTCACGTAATTCTTTATGAAATTCAGTATCCATCATTCTTTGGAAGTGAGAGGGTGCATTTTTAATTCCAAAGGGCATTCTCAAATATTCATAAATACCCATATGTAGAATAATTCTCATTAAGTGTCTACTATCTTCATGAATAACATTTTGATGAAATCCTTTAAGTACATCCATACACGTAATATATTTAGCATTTTGTAGTTGCGTGATGGCTTCACTTATTTTAGGCATTGGATATCTATCAGCAATTGTGTAATTGTTGAGAGCTCTGAAATCTCCAACCATTCTAGATTTACCATTATGCCACGCAATAATTACAGGAGTAGTTACTTCAACATTTTCATTGGCACCAACTTTTCTAAGTACATTCATTTTTACTAAGTCAGTTACGTGTTGTTGTAAGGCTTCTCTGCTTCTTGGGGATGCTGGGTATGCAGCTTTTCTTAATGCTGGAGGGTAAGGTCTAGAAGTATTAAGATTAATTCTGACTTCATGTCCTTTTATCACTACAAACAAACCTCCATACCTCATGGGAGGAAATTTTGAGGGTTTTTTTTTTTAATTTTTAGATTTTTTAGATTTTTTTATAATTTTTTCAACTGCTCAGCATCCATCTTTATACCTCAGCACAAGCTGCTCAGTCTTTTTTTTGTCTAATTTTTTCTTTCCGCTCAGCCTTCATATTTTTCCAGCAGCTCAGCCTTCACTTTTTTTTTCTAGTGCTCAATCTGGCTCAGCCTTCACTTTTTTTCACTACTCAGCCTTTTTCTGCATTTATCATTTCTATCAACTATGCACAAGTAATTCACACATACAACTATGCACAAGTAATTCACACATTTATATATACAAGAGGGAGCATAGAAACAAGAATAACTAACTTGACTTTTCTTTTTCAGATGGTGGAGTCTCACCATCCTCTTTGGATGGTTTGGATGTAGGTTCATTAGGGGTAAGGTTGGATGAACTGGCAATGGTTAAATTTGATCTGGCGATGGTTAAATTTGGTATGGGTGGTTGTGGTGTTCCTCCTGGAGGGCGAGGCTGAACTGATGGTTGTGGTGTTCCTCCTGGAGGGCGAGGCTGAACTGATGCAGGAGTCGGAGGGCCAGCAGTTAAAGTTGGTGCCGGAAGGGCGACAGTCGTCAGACTTGGTGCAGGAAGGGCAGCAGGAGCAACGGTAGTTGATATCGTCGGTAAAGGGGTTGCAGTAGTCAATGCAGGAGCGGCAGCAGTCGATGGCAGAGCGGCGACGGTCGATGAAAGAGCGGCAGCAGTCGAGGGAGCAGTCGATGAAGGGATGTGTGCAGTTTGGCCAGAAAACAGCTGAGGATCAATCTGATGGCCGGCTGCCTCCCCGAGAAACTCGGCTAGGATTGCATTCATGAGAGAGACATCAGCAAATCGGACTTTTTTGCTGTTTGGGCCACTATTTTTTCGAGGGATTGGGACAACCGGGCGAATGATCTTGAGACGAGATATCGCATTACAGAGATCATCCATGTTGGAATCTCCAGGAGCAGCCAGAGTGGGGGAAGTGGGTGGAGAAGGAACTTTAAAGTTATAAGCTGGTGATGTTTTCTGAGACTTACATTCAGCCCTGTAACTGGTGTGCTGAGGATGCTGAGGAGGCGGCTTTGGAGTGGCAAAGGACGTTGTTGGCGGCTTTGGAGTGGAAAAGGACGTAAGGGTTGATGTTGATCCGGTTGAGGATTGGAAGGATTGAAATGTCGAAGGTTTCGAACCCCATAGGTTAGTTGAAACGTCTGATTTAGGAGGAACTGGTGGCGGCTTTGGGTCCCACGAAGACGCATCCGGCATGAAAGGATTATTTCGTGTGGGCTCAACAGTCGACGGTTTGAAAGTTGTGACAGAGGAAAATTGGCCAAATCGAGCAGGTGGCAAGTTCAGGGAACTAGACTGGCCGTACTTAGGCGGGGGCGGCGCCTTTTCCTGGGTACCAAATGGGCAGGATTGTGTGCTGAATCGTGGCAGTGACTGCACTTTCTCCTGGGCGCGATTAGGCGGAGGGGGTGGCGGCTTTTCCTGCCCGACTGAGGGGCAAGAAAAATTGAAACCGCTGGAATCCTTCTGCGATGGCACGGCTGATCCCTGACTGAATGAAACGTTTTGTTTTTGTGATTGGGTCGGCCTAGTGTTCCAATATTGGGAATAGTCAAATGGCTTAGGGCCACTTGGGACCTCTGGTTTTGGACAGGCTGCAGGACCTGAGGGTTGATGAGGATTCAGATGTGGAGTATAGGTCTAAGAAATTACACATGTCAACGTTAGCTACTACCGATTAATCGAGATCACTTATTGGCACACTTACATGATCGGTAAATCTGCGAGGGGAATAATCGAAGTGCGTCGCCGGCGGCTGATATGCGTAGGGCCGGGCAAAGTCCGACTGAGATGTGTTGGTGTTGTGGAAAACGGACGGTTGTTGGAAAACAGGCGGTTGTTGAAAGGTATCATAGCCGTAGGACGGAGCTAGCTGGGTCTGGATCTGGGAAGGTGGGTTTGAGGTTTCGGCACGAGTCGGACAAAAAGGAATTGAAGCAGGTGTGAAACGCCAGTCAGAAGGGTCCGGTCCATGTCTATCACGGTGATCGAGCCCCGGGGCAGCATACGTTTGATTTCCTCCTTGGAGCTGAACGTACCTCCTGCGTTTGGGACATGGGTTGTACGGATTGAAGACCGGGGTAGGCGCATTGTCTTTCTCTGATAGATTGCGTTCCGGAGGCAGCTGTAGGAAAGGCGAGATCTTAGGGCGAGGGTATGAGTTCACATCTTGGCGTCCCTCCTCGGCGTAGGATAAGTCATCAAGAGCCGGGTAGGCCGGTGATGGTGGTGGTCGACGGCCAGAACGTGTGCGATACCGATATTCGTGGTCAGAAGTGTCGTCAGTGCCTGATTGATCAACATCAATGGTGTGATTTGGAGCTTTGGAGGACTTTTTCACCTGGAAAAGAGCGATTCCATGAGTATCTAATTTCATGTCATCTAAACATTAAAAATGCTTACGCTTCTAACAACAAGAGCCGGCTTGAGCCGAGTGAATGTTTTTTTGACCCGGCTGGTTCTGGTTCTTGGCGATGCAGTCTTAGCCATAGGTCGCCTCTGAATTGCCTTCTTCGCTTGCCTGCGTTGTGTAGTAGGTCTGTGATCCGAGTCTGACGACCGAGAGGCTAATGAGTTTTGGGAGGATTCCGAAAGATTCGCTTGGGAGGACTCTTCAGATACTGAGAAATCTTTGGATTGTGATGAATCTTGATGATCTGGAGTAGGGTGATTACTGTATCTGGTGGGCTGCGATCTTGCAAAAGTCACGTGGCGTTTCTTGTTCATCGGTGATTGAATTCGCTGTTTTTGTGGAGGTGATCGATTTTGAGAACGGGCACGTCTTGGGGACGGGGAAGCTGATCTTCTTCGTCTTGGGGGAGATGTGGGTTTTTCTTTCTGTTTTGATGGCTTTGATGGTCTGGGTCTGGCTGGTGATTGGCCACGAGTAGATCTTGATGGTGCTGATGGTCTGGCTGGTGATCGGCCACGAGTAGATCTTGCGGGTGATCGGCGGCGAGTAGTAGATTGCTTGGGAGAGGGCGAGACAGAAGCCCTGGCAGCACTGCGCTTGGACGATCTTGAAGGGGTTTTGGCTGGTGATCGAGCCACAGAGGCCCTTACCGGTGATCGAGATTTTACCGCTGATCGCCTGGCTGTAGATTGAGTTCTTGCTGGTGATCGAGCAACATCTGTAGATTGAGTTCTTGCTGGTGATCGAGCAGCATCTGGCCGGCTGTTTGATCGACCCCTCGGAGAAGGAGTGAGGGATGCTGCTCTTCGAGCAGTCTTTGTCCGGCCGGGTGATCGACCAACTCGAGTCGGAGGCGGAGAGGGCGTGTCAGATGCTATTCGAGTTCTCCTTGGCCGGCTGGGAGATCGAGTTGGTACGGAGATAGGGGAGGAGAGGGGGGATGAGAACTCGTGGAACTCGTGGTCAGGAGAAGGTGCCCTGCCTCCTGCGGCCGAGACAGAGTTCAAAATCAAATCGGATAACATATATAAATAACATATATAAATAGATATAAGGTTATATAGATATAAGGGCAACTTACTTAATATGTTCAAATACTTGTTAGCGAGGTCACGCAGAGGGTTAACCTTGATTTTGGGGGGTATGATAGCGTGATTGTCAACCAGGCGAATGAAATCAACCAGCTGGGCCTTATGGTTTGACGAGTCATAAGGCTTGAAGTTGATGGCAGATGATTCATCAAGCGCGAAGGCACGACTGTTGGACATGGGAATTTCAGGAATATGTGACTGTCTACTCTCGTCTTAGTAACAATCTCCTATCTCGTTTGGTGTAACAATCTAATTCTAATACTATGTATCCTGGGATACTTGCTTGTATATATTTACTGGATTTTCGGCTGGGATGACAGTCATGACTCAATCGGTTAAGGCGGTCAGAACTGTGCGGATCTGGCGACGGGCAGGTTGGATTGCTTTTGTTTGGAGCTTTCGGAAGCTTGCTTGGTGGCCTCCGGGCCTCCCATGTTTCTTTCATTTTGTTGTTTCTTTCCTTTTGTTGTTTCTTTCCTTTTGTCTGGTGGCCTTGGGCATTGGACAGTTGGTCCGTTCCCTTGATGAGGGACTTCCAGCCGATGGGTTAGGGCAGGAGGGCAAGAATCAGAGTTGGGTGACGGGTCTTTGTGATCGGAAGGTTCTACATTTCTTTATGTATGTATGTAAATAGGTGATCGGAAGATCCCATGTGATCGGAAGATCCCATGTGATCGGAACTATTTATTTACATACATAGATGGGAGAACGTGCGTCGTGCAGAGAATTGCCAAGCTCTTTGTTGCATGATGCATACCGTCAGATACCGTCATACCTGGAACCATGTATATCGATGTTTAACCGGTGGCAATTCCTTACAATCTCATCAAAGCCTTACACGGATGGGAAGCCACAGTAAAACCACCAACCGGCCAGACAACGGCGGCCACACCGATCAACGGCGGCCACAACGACAACCGCGGCCACACCGATCAACGGCGGCCACACCGATCAACCGTGAACCACCGACAGAACAACGGCGGCCACACCGATCAACACCGTGAACCACCGACAGAAAGGAATCTTCAAAGAAAGCACCACAACAATCAACGGCGGCCACACCGATCAACACCATGAATGAACCACTGAAAGGAGTCTTCGAGAAGCAGTTTTCGAAGTGGATGACATTCGACTGGCCCCGATACGCGTGGCCTCCTCCAGGCGTGCATTCGAATAGGTAAATACCTCTCTTCTTGTCTTTCAAGGCTCTGTAGTGTCCCCCCCCCCCTCCTCGTTTTTCATCTCAGCTTGATTTCGAATCGCTGTCCCCCGTATACCGTTAATTGCTTTCTGGTCTTAATTGCTATCTATTGCTTTCTGGTCTTAATTGCTTTCTGGTCAGCTTGAAGCTGATTCATTCTTGTCGATTCTTTTGACTTGCCCTACTTTAGACTTGTCTGGAACTTGTCTCGACATTTTAATTATCTGCCCTATTTCGACTTGTCTGGAACTTGTCGATTTATTTCCTTGACCTAATCTTGCCCTATTTCGACTTGTCTGGAACTTGTCGATTTCTTTCCTTGTCCTAATCTGACTTGTCCGGAACCGATCAAATTTTCTCTTGATCTTTTAGACTCTTGTTTCTTCTTCTTGTTCCGTATCACCTGAGTCAAATGAAGCGGTCCAGGAACGAGGACGTGGGGCCAACATGGGCCGGTAAGTATTTTGTATTCATCATTTTATCAGACTCAATCGATTCTGATGATCTCCTCCATGACTTGCCCCTCTCAGACCCAAACCAGCTTGGAATCCCCAAACTTCGCGAAGCTTTAACCACATTTGGAATACGCCTCGATGCAGGCGAATGCCGCACCAAATTATTCCAGCGGTACGTCAAACTTGCCCGGATCGAGTCTCCTGAATCTGTGGAATGTTGGACCGGCCTCGACTTGGACGCACCATTGCCAGGTAAGTCTTTCATTTTAATCCTACTCGGAGTTTACCAGTTTCGCAATTTTTGCTAGCCTCGATCTGACGCTTGTATGATACCTTCCAGGCGCTGAGAGATTTGTGGTCCCCAAGCTGAGGATTATATTGGCTCTCTACTCGGTTGGCTACCCAGCACAAGCAAGCCGCGGTCATCTAGTCAAGCTATTCAACGCCCTTGCAAAGGAGCGTGATCCTAGTGGCTCAGTCGGCGATATCTGTACCCGGTCCTCACAGTCGGATCCGAAAAAGAAGAAGAAAAACTCAAAACCAACACCTCTGAACCTGTTGCCGCAGTCCAAGCCTTCGAGGGACAAAATCGCACCAACGCACGCCGACTCGCCAAGCCATGTAGGGAAGACTCGTCGCACCAAAGCCAGAGAAGATAAATTCTTCCAGCCATATCGATCCTCCGAAAGGCCAGCTAGATCCTCCGTGTGCCCCTCATCTCAATCATCTGGACGGTCCCTATCTCAAGTCTCGAGGTCATCAGATGCCTACTCGCTTCGCCGATCGCCCCGGTTGAGGGCAGCACAAGAACAGATGGAGCAATCAAGAGCTTCCCACCGGCCTGCCCAATCATCAAACAGATGTGAAGATGAAACAGATGCAGATGAAGCAGACAATGACGCTGATGAAACAGACGATGGCGATGATAAGACAGACGATGACGCTGACTCTCAGGCGCCGACGCATGCCACTCGTTCGGCAACATGGGAGCCTTCCTCCCCTGAAGCCCATCATCAGTCCCCCATTGCCGCCTCCTCTGAAGCCGGAGACTCTGAAAGAACCGCCTCTCAGCCGCCTTCTGCAGCATCTGACTCACGACCTGCTGAAGACGGGCACTCTGAAGGGGCTGCCTCTGAGTCGCTCTCAAACGAACCTCCCACTCCCTCTGTGAAAGATGAATCAGACGATGACGCCGACTCTCGGGCGCCGTCCCATGCCACTCGTTCGGCAACATGGGAGCCTTCCTCCCCTGAAGCCCATCATCAGTCCCCCATTGCCGCCTCCTCTGAAGCCGGAGACTCTGAACGAACCCGCCTCTCAGCCGCCTTCTGCAGCATCTGACTCACGACCTGCTGAAGACGGGCACTCTGAAGGGGCTGCCTCTGAGTCGCTCTCAAACGAACCTCCCACTCCCTCTGTGAAAGATGAATCAGACGATGACGCCGACTCTCGGGCGCCGTCCCATGCCACTCGTTCGGCAACATGGGAGCCTTCCTCCCCTGAAGCCCATCATCAGTCCCCCATTGCCGCCTCCTCTGAACGAACCGCCTCTCAGCCACCTTCTGAAGCATGTGACTCACGCTCGGAACGAACCGCCTCTCAGCTACCTTCTGAAGCATCTGACTCACGCTCGGAACGAACCGCCTCTCAGCCACCTTCTGAAGCATCTGACTCACGCTCTGAACAAACCGCCTCCCAGCCACCTTCTGAAGCATCTGACTCACGCCCTGCTGAAGCCGCCTCTGAAGGCCATCATTCTAAGTCTTCCGTCAATGTCTCCCGTGAAGCTCAGTCATACAGTCAAGCGCGAGAATCCGGACAAGAATCTCCGGTCACTTTTCTTTGAGATCAAGAAGTTCGGTCAGGGTCTCTTGTCGATGAAGATCGAGCATCCGGACAAGAGTCTGGCGTGTCCTCCGGACACCACGAATCGGATGTATCCAGCGCACCTACGCGTAGGACTCGACCCGCCTACAGGCCTGCACAGAAGCGTAAACCAGAAGTCCCCTCAGAATGGCCGGGTAAGTCTTATTGGCATTTGTTGTTTATTGCTCCCATTCTGACCTGCTTCTTTTTGTCTTTGTTCCTGGCAGACGCTCTGCGGCTCTCGCGGGTGGAGATTGAAGCATACCTTGATGAGTACAATGTTGCGTACACCTCAGCCACGCGGATGGCACGCTTGATCGGGAGCTACAATCTTCTACGCTCAACGGTCCCAAACCTCGGCGAACAGCGGGCATCTAAACGTCCTAAGGCTCCTCAGTCCCGTCCTCGGTCCTTGTCTAGGCCACCACGTATCCGCAGAAAGAGCCGTTCTAGAGTCGAGGCAAGCGCTGAACCCGATGAATGTGGGTTTGTATACAGGCGGCCGAAGCCTCCTTCCATTCCTCGAACTGAATCATCACCTTCCGAGCCTTCTGTCAGTCGCGAGAACTCACCATCCTCGGTGTCTCCGTCCGACTATCAGCCATCTGTGGCGTCAACTGAGCTATCGGAAGCTCCATCGGCAGCTCCAACCCCTCGGACATCAATCAGCGCTCGTTCAACGACCAGTTCAAGAGAGTTTCCTACCAAACATACTCGGCAGAAGCGAGCCAAGAGCAACCATGCTGAAGCTCCCACTCGCAAGAAACGAGCAAGACCTCGAGCTCAACAACGCCAGCTCAAAGGACGTCGCGAGTGGGGTCGTCCGTCCTCTACTCAACAAGAGGATCATCTTGTTAATTTCGTTCCGGTCCTTCCTGACCATTCACAGAAAAGAAAAAACCAACAGGCTGACCTCCATGTCAAAAGGCGCCGCACTGGTACGGATGATCCTCGCCCGCAAGCAACCTCACGGCCCTCGAGGATAAACCGAGTGCGGCAAAATAGCTATGCAGTGCGCCCAGCCTTTCTTGACAGCAACCAGCTCGACCCGCATGAGTCGGATCTTGAACACCAGCTCCCAGAGTCGCCTCAGTCCAATCGCTCGTCCAGCGCCTTAAGACGCTTCTCATTCAGGTCGCAGCCTGTAGACGAAGAATCAGATTCGCAGGAATCCAATGGCTTGCCCAGCGCCTCAAGACCCTTGCCATCTAGGTCGCAGCCTGTAGACCACGAACCAGATGCTCCTTCGACCCTGGTTCGGCCAAACAAACGGAAGCAGCCACATCACCCTTCTGCTAGCACGCATCGGGAAAAAAGGAGAGCCACCCCGGTGGCGCCACGTATCCCGACCTCCGCGCAAGTTCACCGCCGAAGACAAAGACAGGCCAGAGTTCGTCCTGGCAGCCTCAGAGTGACCCCATCTTTTCGTGATGATGACGTTATTGTGCCAACTTATCATCCGGCGGCCAGTGGAGTCGAAAGCTGGAGGTCTTCTTTACCTCGAGATTTATCATGCCCACCGGAGCCAACAACGTCATCCCCATCTGAACCACCAACGCCGCCACGGCGACGCCAGGCTGGCCCCGTAACCGGATGCTGCGCTGGCCAACAATTGGTCTCTCAGCTTACGGAGGCGACCGGTCTCCTAACTGTCTGTCTTGAAAGGGTCGGTCTTTCCGCGCAGGGGCCTCAGATCTCTACCACCACTCGCCCCTCTGGCACTCATCGCAACCTCTCTCTTTTGGTAAGTACCATGCACAAATTCATCGATTATCCATGCGTAAATATTCACCGTACATATTTGTAATTTCTCAATCATGTGTTCTATTAGGCACGAGTCCGCCAGCACATGAAGACCCTCTTTGGAAAATGCATGGAGTTGAACCAGTTCCCACCCCCTGCAACCGAACAGGAAAAGGCCAACTGGAAGGATTACGACCAGGACAATGACTCAGAGGATGACTCAGACGATGAAAGCGTGTTGAGTGGCTCTTTGCATTCAGGTGATGACCCTGCTTTTCCATATCGCAACGGTCCTGGTCATAGGGAGGCTTCTGCAGCAACCCTCTCGATCATGTGGAGGTGCATGCGAAAGGCTGGTGTCGTGTCATTCCGGCCTGACTTTACTCGGCGTCATCGTGATCCAGATAACATGTTCTTATGGGACCTTGCCCATCACATCTTTATCAAGCTAGTTCGAGCACAACATTATTCAGAGATCGATCTGGAAAGCTCTACTGAAGCAAGTATTCGCCAGGCAATATTAAATCATACGAGACACCTACGTCGGACGTGAGTTTATCTATCTCTACCTATAGCCTGTCAACTAGTACACAGCATCCTTTACTGACTCATTTTCACTTTCACTTGCAGGTATCACGAAGCAGGCTGGGATGCCAGGCGCCTGGACAGTAGGGCCGTGCTGAAACGTCGACAAGCGCGAACGAATCGGGTCAGTTTTGAGGCCTACTTCATCCCTTGCCATCACCTCAAGCCTGACTTTTACTTTTCCTTGTCTTTCCAGCTCCGTGACAACCGAGTCAAGTTTCTCGGTACCCAGGCTGCACTCGTGCCGCTCATTTCGGTTGCGACTGAATGCACCAGCGACGCCGAAACTGAAGCCAACGATGGAAGGCAAAAGCGTGTGGCTGTCAAACATCTCCCGTGGCGGCATCCTCGAATCGGCCGAGCCTTTAAAATGGTCGATCGCCTGATAGAACTGAAGAGACAATCTGGCTGCAAAAAGTATGGCAAGTCAACTTGTACCCGGGTAAAACCCTCTAGACCCAGGACCAGCACCAGATCATGTCCAACATTCCTTCCATCCGATGTCTATTGTAACGACTGGCTAGCGACACAAAGAGGCTCACACATTACCGCCTTACATATACAATCGGGCCCATCGCTGCAGCGTGCCATACGACACTTGAAGAGAATGTTATAATGTCAAATATCTTTCATTCCACATCTGCCCGTAGTTTTTTCATCCATCCAACTTTTTTTCAAATTCTTGTAAATAGTGTCAGTCTGCCAAAGTCTTTGACCAAAGACTTCTTTTTTTAGAATTGTACATAGATGTTTCCTTTTTTTCACCCTTTTCTTTTCCCAGCTTGCCTTTTCTTTCTCACTTTTGTTCTTGTACATAGATGTATATAGATATACACGAGGCTCAATGCAAATACACGAGGCTCAATGCAACTCACGCCTTACAGGTAAACTGGGCAAGTTTGTCAACAGATGCTGCCTCGGCGCCTGGGGCCGATCAACATGGCGCCTGGGGCCGATCAACATGTAGCCCCACCAGAGACCACAAAGTTATTCAGGTCTTGGGCCGATCAACATTAGCACCACCACAGAATCAACATTAGCACCACCACAGGCCACCACAGCGCAACCTTGAGCGCACTCGCCGGTTTGCAAAGGTCTTTAAACATCCGTCGACCAACCGGCGAGTTGTGGGCGGCTGGTTATATCCAGACCATGGAAATTCTTTAGAGATCTGTGGACAGGTTTACCACCACCACACACTCGTCGATCACGATCAGAACAAAGGGTCAACCTTGCGCGCACTCGCCGGTTTGCAAAGGTCCTTAAACAACCGTCGACCAACCGGCGAGTTGTTGGCGGCTGGTTATATCCAGACCAAAGGAAATTCTTTAGAGATCTGTGGACAGGTTTACCACCACCACACACTCCTCGATCACGATCAGAACAAAGGTAGATGAGATGATATCATATCATATGTCTGTGATACGTGTCATTCCTCTGAATGGATCCTTTGATTGATACATGCCGTCGAACCTTTGATTCCTGGATCCTCGATCCTGGATCCTATGTGCTTGGTAACGGGCTGGCTTCTAACCTGGCAGACAGACTCGAATAAAGCTTCCTCAACAACTTCTCTCATTTCCTTCCCAAGTTGTTGTCGGTTTCACTTTCCTGCGGCGATCCAATTCCACTCCCATCTTCTATATCAAATCATGCGCCCTAATTCAAACGAGCAAGGTGTGTACTGTGCTTTGATTTTTCCATCAAAAGACTCTCCGTTTCTCTTGTTTACATATTCTCTTGTTTAGCCATAGGGACTACCGTCGAGGCACATGGCGACCAGTCCACCGGTCCAAAGCATAACGAGACAGGTAAGTCTTTCCATCTTTTGACTTTCTCGCATTCTATTTGATATTTGTTCTGATCTTGCCCCAGCTGAAGGAACCGCGGCCGAGGCGCATGAGCTCTTTACGGATGAAGAGCTTGTTGAGGTCTTCAGAGTGTTGTTCAACTCGGGCAACACGGGCATTTTTCGATCTTCGTTAACGTCCGGCAAGCTCAATCAAATAATTCAAACGCTAGTCTCCATCTACGGCTTTACCTCCCCTTTTCGCATGGACTACATCAACACACACATGGGAAAGATACCAGGCCACTACGCGATCGAATCGTTCCATAAACAATGGTGCGCCAGGGGAGAGTTTAGCCGATGGCAATATTATTATCCCGATTACATTGCATTTCAAAGCTTGTACGACATTGACAACACTGGAGGTAAGCTGGAAACAATGGCTAGACAATAGTAAATCAGGATGATGCTAATTTTTGATGTTGTCAAGCCCATGTTGGCTTCATCGCAGGTACGGAGTCTGACGGTTGGACCTGGACCATCATCCACCAGCCTATTCCTTAGTAGTCCCTCCACAAAAATTATTTCTATTGGATCTTGTTCTGTTATTTTCTCTGCTCCCCTTCTTAGTCCCTCGACAAAAAAATTTCATCTTATCCTTCATCTTATATCTCAGCCTGCTCCTGCTCTTGGATTTTGTTATGATATTTAGCCTGCTGCCACTCTCTCTCTTACTCAGTCTCCTGCCGCTCTCGTTGTACATAGCTATTTACTATTTTTCTTAATGGAATGCCATCTTTTGGTGACCAATGACTTCCCGACCAATGACTTGCCTTTTTCTCTTGGTGACTAATGGCTTGCCTCAATTAGGGCTCAACCACAGCGAAAGATCAATATTTACATAAATATGTACATACATGTTGTACATGGAGTTTATACTCCGATCACTCCGATCGGCCACCCGCGTTTCTCACTGCTCCAACTCCCCTCAAGCCATCAGCTCCTCCATCAGCCTTTTTTTTTGCTTCCGCTTATGTATCCTCCATCCATCAGTACTTTCTTCTCCTATCATGTCTGAAACTCGATACGCCCCGGTGGTTTGCCGTTGCCAAAGGAATGGATGCAGTCAACAGAAATTCCGGGACCAGGACGGGAATTGGCAATCCGGTGCCATAGTTGCCAGATCCACTCGAAGGGGGCACGCTGAAGCTGACAATCAATTTTACGCACAATTTGGAGCCCAGGGTCCGTTGTCTGTCGCTTTTACTTATAATTCTTACTTATCGATTATGTGCGCCTGGATTCTGGACCCCACAAAGCAGGGCAGGCAGAAGACAATGATGACATCGATGAAGACGATGATGACATGGATGAAGATGATGACGATACCGATTCCGATTCCGATATGGACCGTGATAGTAGCCCTGAAATCGCAGACACAGCGATCAATTCCTACGACTGCAGTTTGTCCCGAGCTATCTCTTATTATGTTGTCCTTATCTTAGTTCTAACTCACTTCGTATCTAGGTCCGTACCACAACTTTACCCTCAGGCACTCTGACCCGGCAGTTTTGCATGTTGCACTGTTAACGGCGATGCTGGCGATTTTCGATCATTCATCCTCCGCTACATCCTCTTGGTTTTTGAAGTGTGGAAAGGATCTCCTTACGGTCGCAGTTTCGACTGGTCTCGGGAATCCTCCCAAAAACAAGCGCCTCAATTTCCGTCAAGAAGAAACCCTCAAGACCCTACCTTTGGATGTCCGAACTGTCATCGAATGGATAGAGATCGATCCAATGCTAGTCACCGTCGTATGCTGCCCAAGATGTTTTGCGATGTACCCCAAGCTCGACACCCCAAAGCAGAACGATTCGGCCCCAATCGGCCCGATGCAATGCATCAGTTCATCCCTTGCCACTCCTGCGAATCATGATGATGATGCGAATCATGATGATGATGAAACAGCGGCTGATGTTGAAACTCTGTCTGCAAACCCTAGCGTGTGCGGAGCGGATTTGTATCGACTTTCAAAGACAGGGTACGCTCCGATCAAGACCTACACCTATCAAAACCTTTATGACTGGCTTGCTAGACTTTTCTCCCGCCCAGGAATTGAGGTGGCCCTGGATCTGAGTGCAAGTCTTGCCAGCAAGCCCTTCGATCCCAACCTTGAGGCTAGTGACATCCAACAATCAATCATATGGAAGCAGTTCCTCGGTCCAGACGGAACACAGTATACCAATCGACCTGAAAATCTCACATTTGGTATGTTCATGGACGGTATCAATCCCTATGGAAAATCGGACAAGCACGCCAGCATCACTTTCATTGTGATGGTTTGCTACTCTCTTCCAGTGGACTTGCGCTATCAGCCACAGAATATTTTTGTCGCAGGCATTGCACCCGGACCAAAGGAGCCGTCGCTTGAACAAACCAACTGGATCCTCCGACCGATCGTCGAACAACTGAAAGTACTGTGGGACACTGGACTTGTTCTCTCGCAAACATGCCTCTACCCTCGAGGACGCCGCATCCGGGCTGCGATCGTGCCATTCTTTGCCGATTTACCAGCTCTCCGTCGTGGTCTTGGATTTGCATCACCCAATGCAACTCGAATGTGCTCGTTCTGTCTCTTGAAAAGGAATGAAATCAACAATCTCGATCAGGACAGCTGGCCGCGCCGAAATCTTGCAGACCATAGGACTTGGGCTGTTAATTCACGAGACGCTGAGACACTTGCAACTCGCAAGCAGATTCTAGACGATCATGGTGTACGATACTCGGTCATGCTTGAACTTCCTTACTGGGATATCATCAATTATCACGTGGTCGACTCAATGCATAATCTCCTTTTGGGGTTATGCAACTGGCATTGTCGTAGGTTTTGGGCTATGTCTGATGTCGCCGATGCACCAGAGCCCAAAGGCGCCTCAAAGAGCGAGCTAAAAGGTTTGAATAGTGACCTTCAACGCCCGATCAGTGTGCCTTGGGAAAGCGAAGATGAAGATCCTGATCCCATCGACTTCCGTACCGAATCTAGCGACAATTCCTTTTCTCCTTACCTCGACGCTGAAGGCTGGGATACAGGTCCCTGGACTTGTCCAAGCGAAGACAAGGTAATCTTTGACAGCGAGGTGCTGGCGTTTGTTAACGCTCTCCTGCCGCGAATCCGCGCCCCAACCTGGATCAAGAGAACAATCCCTGTTCTGGGCAAAGCATCATTTGGCTCCCTCAAAGCAGATGAATGGCGGAACCTTTTCACCATTCAACTTCCCTTAATTCTCCCAGTGTACTGGGCATCTGGAGGACCATCTGCTCGCTCGCTCTTTCGCAACTTCGCTCATCTGGTATCAATGGTCAATTTAGCCCTCAAAAGATCGATGACCGCCGACCGAGTTCAGAAGTATCGACATCATACGACAGAATATCTAAAAAGCTGTCTTATCCTCTTCCCCGATGTCAAATTAGCACCTAACCACCATATGTCAATTCACCTCGCCGATGGTCTAGAAAAATTTGGGCAAACCAGATCCTGGTGGTCTTTTCCAATGGAGAGGCTCATGGGTAATATTCTTAAAGCGTCCCATAACAACCGTCTTGGTGAGTTTGTTTCCTTTCTCCAGTTGATTCCTTCTGAGTTGAGCAGCAGCTGATATAAACTTGGAGGATAGGCCAGCTTGAAACAACCTTCCTCACCAACTTCTGCCGCCTTGGTAATTTACAGGCGTTGCTGGCTGCGCCAGAAAAGTTCCCAGCTGAACTCCAGCCTGTTGTCCGTCAGCTGCAAGCCTTCCACGATCCAATTCCTGTCGAACCTCATGAAGTTATCCATAAAGGTCGCCAAGCTTTTCTTGACTCGGATACGCTAACTGTTCTGACCAACCGACTCAACGAGATCTTCCCTTGCCCCACCGGTGCAAGGTGGATTGAATCCAACAAATGGGCAAAGAAGCGAAAGTCTGAAGCCGAACAGTATCTCTCTGTAACTCCTCAGATAGAAAAGCTATCAAGTTGCTTGATCAAAGAAGTCACTTTCTCCACCTTCGAAGCAAATCCCAGCAACAGCGTGGTTGCCCTGCAAGCCGGGTGTGCGCCTCAATATGGAATAATTGAAAAAATCTTTCAGCATCGCCGAATCATGAAGAATGGTACCAGCAAGGCTGACACTTGGCTGGTACTTCAGCCACTTTTACCTTGTAACTTTTCTAACCCATTTGCAGGCTTATCAAAGTTTGACCTACAAGTTGAGCTCAGGAGTCTTGATACTGAGATGTTGTATGTAAATCACACACAGGAGGTCCTTGCACACTGCGCGTGGATCAAGTATAAGAGTTCTGAAATTTTACCACTCATCAAGAAAGAACACTTTGCATTAGTATCACTTGATGGTTGAATGTGTTTCTCTGGTTTCTCTGCTTCTCTCAATTCTTCTCTATCTGGATTTGTACTGGTCTGGGGATAAATAAATGTTTCTGAGGATAAATAAACAAAAATGCAAGTAAATAAACAAAAGACTTCTTGAAAAACAAGGCTGAGCCAGAAGAAAATGGTGAACTGAGCACCAGAAAAAAATGCTGGAAACTGAGCAAGGTCAAAGGCTGAGTGCTTGTGCTGAGTAAAGAGAGTAAAGTGAGCAGTTAAAAAAAAAAAAAAAAAAAAAAAAAAAAAAAAAAACTCAAAATAGCTTGTGAAGATAGATGCTGAGCAGTTAAAAAAATTATAAAAGTTATCAAAAAAAATTATAAAAAATAAAATTAAAAAATTAAAAATTAAAAAAAAAACCCTCAAAATTTCCTCCCATGAGGTATGGAGGTTTGTTTGTAGTGTATACGTCCAAAGGGTTCATCAGTAGTAGCAAAGGCTAATTTCTTTTTATGTAGTAAAGAATATAACTGTGACTTTTCTTCTTCTGTTAAAGTACTAGAAATTTTTGCTTCTTCAATAGTATTTCCAAAATTATTATCTTCTAAAGCATTACATTCTAGTTGTACTAAGTTCATTTTATCAGTAATACCTAATTCAAATTTAGTGGATAAATCTCCATTAATAGTAAAGTATCTGCCATTGCTATTTATAACATCTATCCCGTAATTAATTATGTAATCATTTCCTAAAATGATGTATTTCATTCTAAAGTCTTCCATTACAATTAATTCTACCGTGATTTGTATGTTATTTTTAGCATGAGGAAATATAATATCTAGAGTTATAATTCCCATAGGGTTCAATTTACTGTTACAACTGTAGAATTTCTCAGGTTTGATGGGGATCAATTTTGTTTTCCAATCAGGCAGTATTTTATCTAATAATTTAGGACTAATTATAGAACAGAAGGCTCCTCCATCAATAAGACATTTAATCTTGTATTTATTACAGATAATATTTGTGATGTTAGTACCTCCAGTCTTATGAATTTCTCCTTTATTACTAGACTTCTTCACGGGTAATTTGATAATTTTATGAGGTAAACTCTTTTCAGGTAGTAATTCTATATTAGAAATGATTTTTTCTTCATTAATAATGGCATCTATGGTACTATCACTATTTTCTTCAGAAGATGATTC